ATTTGCAAAATAAGGACTCAACAAAAGACTTTAAGCAATACCTCGCCTAATAGAGAATTTCACGGGCTACAAAACTGGCTAGCTTAAGAGTTTTAGAATCCAGTTCATTCGTTAGAATTCTTTTATAACTGCCCCGTGCTCAAAACTTTGAAAACATTTTTTTAAGTAATAGTGAGCGTTAGTGAATGAGACCGTTAGTATTCTATATATTTATTTACGAAGAACTGTTTCTATGTTCGTCGTGCATATTTATAAGAATAACAGATAATTGAAATAAACCAAATACAAAATGTACAAAAACCGACAATTCGTATAATAATATGTTTATATGATTTAACTTTGCGACTTCCATATCTTCCATCCATCGAGTAGATATCTTTCATTTCGAAATTAAATAACTGTTTCATTAAATGATACAATTCTAAAATATATGTTTGATTATCTTTGTTAAAATATTCTTGTTTACCAATAATTTGTGAATTTTTTTCCACCCAAAATTCTTTAATCGAATAATATCTATCATTTTTCTCTTTTGTTATCAATAGTTTGTAAATACAGTGGCCAGTAGATGACCGACAGATATGCAGATAATGATTGTCGAAGTATGCGTACCAATTGGCGGTCGAATCTAGTATACCAGTAGAGACGAAATTATTATATTTTTGTTATATTATTTATTTTCAATTGTTAACTCTCAAATTCTACTTATTATAGTAAAAAAATCAATCGTAATATATACTATACTGCTATAAGTTTTCTTTCAAATCATTTCTGAATTTTTCTTTCGTTACTAACGAAAAAAAATAAACTTTTTCAGAATGATAAAACAAAAGAAAATTACTCACACTTTACACGCTCGGATTCTCTTCTAATGCTAATTTTCCGAATAGTTTTTACTCACCTTTCTCTGGATTAAAACCTTTGATTAACGTCTGATATTGTTTTTTATTAAAAAATAAAGGGTATTTAATTTGTTCGGGTTTACTAATTTCCGGAATCTTAATTGTGGGTACTTCAGATATAGTTGTGGTTGAATACGGATGGCGAAGACATGAAATGAATGTTTCTTGGACAAAGCCAGATATTAGATTTCTCATAACAGTAGGCGACGTTGAAAAACGAGGTTGAAACAATAATAAGTGACGAATATTCATTGCTCTAGAAAGAAGATAGATAAACGGACAACTATAATTTGTCATTTGTTGAAAAGTTATCGAATGATTATCTGATCTCCAGTGGTATATGTGTATAACATATTCTGATTTTATTGCATTTCTATTAACCTTTTAGATGTCTCAGTTGGAAACCTTTTCTGTAGAATTTACGCTCAGAAGTTATCATTTATGATGCAATCCACTAGATATTAGTACCAAAGACATCTTATCCTCACAAAAGAATCAAAATCAGCTTATTAGTATCCGGCTTTTCATGCTACCATATGGTCATTTTTGGGGTTGTGGAACAACCCATTTTTGGTACTACTAAAGCCAAAAAGCTTTTGAATGGTTCTGATTGGTCAAATATCAAATCAAATAAAGAAATAGCATCCATCCTCTATACCATATTAACTCATATTTTTAGTCAGACGGTATATATAACGATAGCTGGTCGATTGATGATCTTTATTCTACATCGTTGTAGACGCTTTGCGATTACATTTTATATAGAACTCAACGGCACATCAAGCCTTTAAAAATGTTTCATGATCTAAAAAAGAGAACAAATCGATATTACATCACTCGGACATAACTGAATGAAACTATATAATATGTCTTTTTGCAGTCGAAATGTTGAAAGTCAAAATAGGTTCGTTTTATGAAGTCTTTTAAGTATCTAAACAGCGTTATCTCAAAAACAGACTCGTAATATAATATACTGTTTTTAAACAGTACAGTACAGTAATTTCTACACTTAAAAGTGTATAATGAACGTTGAATTAAGTCTTTCTATACTTTTTTCTTGAAGACACTGAGTTTTTTCACAAAATCATATCAATGGGAAGGAAAACTAAAGTTCAGTTAGAGTAGCGGAAAAGTGCTTTTTCCTATTCAACACACTCGATGATCCAGAAGATTTTCCATTTTTGGCGAGCCGTATTGCCAAAAGGTTAGGAAAATTTCCCGAACAAAACGGCGAAAAAAAATTTCCGTGTGAAAATAATATTAGTTCCAAAATTGTTCCTAACTTTTGGCAATACGTCTCGCCCAAAATAGAAAATCTTCTGGATCATCGAGTGTGCTAATACGAAAAGCACTTTCCGCAACTCTCATGAACTTTACTTTTTCTGTCGGTGATACACTTTTTTATAAAATAACCAGATGTTATCAAAGTTTTTCAATGGAATATTCAAATACAGTACAGTTACATACACACATTGATTCCGGTTTTTTGGCTTATTTCTAATCGTTTTTAACTCCGCTTGGTAAGATTGAATAAGGTATACTTTTATTGTATAGAGGGATGTTTACTATACTAAATAATCAGGATTTTCTCTGCCACTCAAGCTTATTTGAAATAGAGTGAATTCACGATGGTATTACCAATAGTCAACATTATAAGGTTATGTATTCTACATTGAATTATTGTGTAAACTTATTGACGGCCTTGTAAATCAAGATACACCTTGGCAGTTATGAAACAGATTAGGTTTAAGCGTTAAAGCCTACTTGAATCGAGAATGTATAATTACCGCGTACGAGAGAACTTCTAGGTTCTATTACTTTTCACCTTTCGATTGCTAACAACTATTACCAACCCTTATTATTAAGCTTTTTCTTGACTCGATTGTTTGAGTGTGAAATGTTTTCACTTAAGTAAAACCGGACAGATGAAAAGATGGAACAATATATATCACAACTATATAGGAACACCAAACCTGAGCCGACAATCTGCTGTAGAGAAACGAACTATGTAGTCGTCATCCCTATGATCTGAAACCTTTGTACATTTAATAGAAATGCCACCTTTTCCATGAATTTCGACGGTTGCGTTTCTACTGTTTATCTCCACGGGACTCATTGCTGCTTTTTCATTTTTCAATTTTTGCTTTCTTGTCCTTTTCTAGTTTCACCAAGCCACGTATTTTTTCTTCCTAATTTCGACACTCCCATACAAATACATAGCGTTTTTACATACATGTCATTCGATGAACTTCTTTTGCTTACCAAGTGAGATATGATCTCAACTTTATTTAGGTGTACGCAGGACACTATAGCGAATCGAACCATGTATCTTGTTCTGAAAAGAGCACATGTTTTCATGCTCTTCTTCACTGAAGAATGAACATGTATCCATATAAAAACGCCATTATCGAAATTAGGAAGACAAAATACTTGACTTACTGGAACTAGGAAAGGACAAGAAAGCAAAAATTGAAAAATGAAAAAGCAGCAATGAGTCCCGTGGAGATAAACAGTAGAAACGCAACCGTCGAAATTTATGGAAAAAGGTGGCATTCCTATTCAGTATCGGGGCAATTGTCCTCCCTCCTAATAAAAATTTATTGGTTCTGCACTGACTTTAAAAAAAGAAGTAACACTTGCTTGCCATCAAGAAAAAACAAAACTGCGTGAAAATGGCTCAAAATCAGATCTTTTCCCATCGAAACATAGAAAAAAAAATTATTATCCCCTTCCCCCCCCAAAGTTTTTGGACTTGCGTCGCCACTGTTCCTATTAGATGTACAAAGGTTTCAGACCATAGGAATGACTACTACATAGTTTGTTTCTCTACAGGGGACCGTCGGCTCAGGTAGGATACTCCTATATGATATCTCTAAAAATGTTGGAAAAGGATACTTCGAAAAGGAAAGGGAAGACTTCAAATGTTAAACTCCAAAATAGAAATGAATTGTAAAACGAAGAGTTTAAAAGTCAAAGTGATGTTTTACCACTACACATACTTCATTTAAGTAACGAGTTCGTTCAACCGCTAGCGTCAGTTTAATGTTGCGGTCACTCAAGTATCGATGCTCAATCGTCGGTTGACGGCTCCATTGGTAAACTATCTTTTTTTAAGTTTTATTTTTCCTACTATCTCCTGATATTTTATAAATAAAATGCATAATAAGCAGTAGTTCTGATTGGCAGTCTTTAATACACCATATATATTTTATCATGTTGTAACTTATCCTTATTATGCTGTGTGAAATGATCGATTTTGTATTTAAGATGATACAGATAATTAGTTTTCCTCTTCAATTTTTATTAAACAAATCAGTTTAGAAATTAATTTTTTAGGTATTATCTTTGTTACACGATTTAATGTTTAGTGACAGCTTCAGTCAAAGCTATTAGAACTATTTTTATTCAACTTCAGTTCTATGATGATGTGTGATATTCGAGTGCAATTTATTGTTGTACAGGTTGTGTTGCCGACAGTTGAATCACTGTTGGTTCATCTATAAAGACGTGATGTTGGATTCTAAGCTTTTCTTTGCTTTATGCTTGTGAAATAAACTATCTATTGACTGACGCTTGATGAATCGTCAGAATATGTAAGTTATAGGCGGATTTAAATATTAATAATATTTTGTTTGCATTCTTTTACTCTATTAAATTCCTTTTTTTCTTATCAGAGAAATAGTACTGCGTAAAAAACGATTGAAGATACAGTAGTTTGTGATATTCTTTCGTTATTTTCAATCTATTATTAAATTTACGATGGTTAGATTTCATAATTAATTTATTAACTAACTTATTAAGCGGTAAGTACATAAATTTCAAACATTCCATTAATCTGACTCTCGATACATGGTGCCTCATCTCAAAGGAAAGGGTCAAAGATTTAGTTTGCGAGAGAGATTTTCTCACATAGCTGAATAAATTACTTTACTCATACGTATAAAGATAATAATAAAAAAAGCCAGAGAGAAAACGACAATACTATACATTTATCTCAATTTAATAACATCAGTTTTTGAAAAACCTTACCGTTCATCTTTTATCAAATATCTTCCGTTAGTACCATTCATGGGACAAAATTAAGATTTTATTTAGGCTATGGGCAACGACGCCGTTTTTTTGTCACCTGAAAATATTCCGTTTCGTTTTATCCCATTACCGCCAGCCTCCGCACCACCAGCACCATCACTAAAGAAAAGAATGGCTCCTGAAGTACCTTCCGAAACTTGTGCCATACGATGTCGCATCGTGCCTGTTCGTCCAGCATCAGAAAATTACATTCAGCAATGGAATCAATTACCAGTACCAACTATCATTGCTCGTTCTCCGCCTTGCACGCAGAAAAACGCTATAAATTTACATTTTAATCCCAATCCTCGTCGTTGTAACGATATCAAGGCTTGTTGTATTATATCGTAGAGACGATATTGTAACTATTCGTAAAGTTGTCACCTGTATTATATCTATCAAAAAAAGATTATTTCCATGACAAAAGTGTGTAAGATATGCTGACTTAAAAATCGTGATTGCGTCTTGGTAAGTTTCTTACGATGTTAGAAACCTCTTGGTCATGAATGACGGCTTTTATCAAAAATATCGATATCTAAAGTACATAGTGTCCAAGCCAAAAGTTTTCTCTTTTGATTATTTTTTGCTGCCAAAAACACGTTTCAGATAAAACAGATGAAAATGTCCATATAGCCAAACATATATGCACAATACATGTTTATGAGATTCAGCATCGACAAAAAATTTGCAGCAATATATATACATAAGTCATTAGATTAAACTTCTCAAAAAATATAGCGTTTTTCTAACAAAACGCATTTCGTGTTTCTCTCAGATTTAACTCTTTCCTCTCTAGTATTTGTATTTCGCTAAAAACCTTTGTTCATACAGATGCTGGAGAGTTCGGGTTGCTTTTAAAGTAAATCTAACACATATAAATAGAACAAGACCCAGCCTGATTTTGAAGTTTTTAAATCTATTTCTGTAGGTATAAAAGCATAGTTTCAGTCATGGAATCAATATCCCCTTAAAATTTCGCTCAGTTTGATCGTGTATTCATAAGATCAGTTTTTGATAGAACACGTCTTAAACTACGTAATGGATATTTGTGTTATATTTCTTTCTTATTAATAGGCTCACAGACGCTAAAATATGTTGAGAAAAACAAATATCAAAAATGATGATGGATTTTCACCGACTGAAGACAGAAAGACAGCAATAGTTATTTTAATTCTTTCTGCTTTCCTTTTCAATACATTTTCCTTTCGTATTTTTTTTGCATTTTTCCTTTTATTGTTCGTATTTGCTTTCTTTGTCTCTTATTCTATTTATTGTTTAATGCACTAAACTTTGGTTTTAAAAAATTGTAATAAGAAAAATTAGCAGTTTTCCATTATTACTTATTTCGCTTTACTCTTCTCTCATAAAATGTCATTTATGAACAGGACTGCCACATAGAAGCATAACAGGTTGCTCTCCAATAATAGGTTGCTTTTGTTTTCTATATCTCATACACTGAAACAGAGTCTAAAGATCTCGTTCGGACAGTACAAAATAGAGAATTTCTTAATCTACAAAATCTGATAACCTAGACCTTTTTACACTAAAACAGTGTTTTCTAACCATGGGATATCATAAAGAGTAAAGTTACTTGTCGTTTCCAATGAAAAATAATTTGAAATATGCTGTTAAGAGCCATTTCCAGCTAGACCGTATGAGTTTTCTCGAAAGAGTCAGAATGTTCTATAATGGTAAATTGAGTTTTCTTAAACAATGGCAGCGCAAGATTTCAAACAAGAATGAAAAGGTGTACAAAAGAACTTGCGACCAACTACTAGTCGCTTTTAATTTACTTTTAGTAGCATTTCAACAAAAGAGAATTATTCGTACGGAACTTCCTCTTTTTTTTTGAAGAATTGTCGATTTTGAGTTGAACATAGCTTGATGAAGAGGTAAGTCTGGACTATAACGTAAGACTACTTCAAGTATTCTACGACTTTTTCTTGGCAAATGGTATGAATTATTTAAGTTTTTACTCAAGAACCTAAGATCAATTTCTGTAGTTTTGTTAATTTCTTTTCTATTTTCATTATCTTCAACATTTTGTCTTATACTTAGTCTGACACATCAAAGTATTATTTTTACAATGCGATCACTTCTGAAATATTTCGACGGCTTTTCGAAGAAATATGAAGATCGTGAATAATGCTCTGATAGAAGTGTCCAGTTTAATGTTATCTGTGGTAGTCTAAATACTGATGATTCCAATCCAGTTACCTCACGAACTCTCAAAAAAATTTTTTAACCAGTCGATACCAAATTGCAGTTTGTACTGGTTTTTGTCCCTAGGACCAATGAAGGAAGCAGCTCTCTGAATAAATTTTCAATTGTTACAAGTAGAGAATATGTGTTCAAACGATTAATTTTATGCAGTTTTTCACGTTCTTTCGCGTGTCATATGTAAAACTCCCATCTTTCTTTAGAACACTTTCGAATTTCAATTACTTTTTATCAGTTTGATTTGTTGTCTATTTCAATAACTATTTTATACAAAAAAAAAAGTATTTTTCAAACTTTCTTTCCAAACAATACTGCTAAAAGCTTCAACATTTTGGACTTATTATTAACGAGTCGCTGAACAACTTTTTAGTCAAGTATTACGCAGGTGTTTCAAACTGTTATCTGCTACCTCTTTCTAGTTTGATAAAAAGTTATATGATGTTTATCTAGCACGTCTTGGGATAATACAATCACGTGATATTTATAACTATAAAGCCTTTTTTTTCTCCACTTAGACTACCCATGTGCGTATTTTTCTTGTTCGAAAGAAAGAAACGAAATGGATGCCGAGATACAGTCTTTTATTTAATGTATAACTTTGATGAATAAAGAATTGTTACATGGTACGTATTCAGCACATATTACCCTTTTTCGGCATTATCTTTCCATTAGAAATAATTTAATTCGAAAAGTGATTCATAATAAAAAAATTTCGATTTTTTTTCTTAATGGGTACTTTAAACATAATATTTATGTAGCAAAAGTATTAAAAGTACAATTAATGATATCAAACGTAATGTGCAGAAAAACCGATCTATGTGTATCAGAGATGGCATATTACCGTTACTCATGTATTACATTACTGAGAAACGCAACGCTACAGAGTATTTTTATTACTCCTATTACTGGTAACAGTAATATTAAAAAATGTTTTTTATATCTTCGCATACGCCCAGCTGGCAGATGTTGTACAAACGATTTGATATTATAATGCTGCATGAAATGATGTTTCACGTCTATTTCATTGATAAATCTTGTCATAGTCGTGTTTGAATTTTGTTGAATGATGAGTAAACCATTTTTGAGTGCAGAATCTCTTTGCTCACTAAGTTCGCGTGTGAGCTCATAGAGTAGCGTATTCAACATTTGTCCCAAATTGCAGATATATCTCAATGCTTGGCGATGTGTCTATGTAGTCTGTTTTGAAAATAATGAGGTAGCATTATATAGATCGAGAGAACTCCAAGAAATGTGCGGATAAATAAACGCGTAAAGTAGGGAAATAGTTGAAAAAAACTGAAAAGTAATACTAATTTTATGAATATTTCTATTTATTATTATCTAATTTCAATGCAACCAGCTGACCTTAGGTCAGTCGAAAAAGCGTCGAAATATACGTAATCGACCATGCTGAGTCGAGTGGTGATGTTTATTTGCAGTTTTGAAGTGATTTGGATCATTAAACTGATATTTGAAATTTTAGCATTTCGACGTTATGTAGCGCTGCGTAGGATATGGAATCGATATTTCAGAAATTTTCAATTTAATGATTCATATCGCT